ATCCCTATATGTTTTATTTAATTTTATTTTAAACTGTGTTTCATTTTATGTTCTGTTTCTAGGCATCTTGTGCTGTGTGTAAGCCACCCCGAGTCCCTTTGGGGAGATGGTGGAGAGATACAAGATAAAGTTATTATTATAAAGTCATTATATATTTTTGTGTTTCATATCAGCAAATTAAAGTGTTTTGCAAATCTATTAGTCCTTTTCTGTTCACCCTTTACTCCACAAAGAAATCTTACTTAGACTGCCATATAATTCTCGTGTAGATAGGGACTAACTGCATTATGTGGCGTGTAGGTAGAGTCACAGTTTCATATTACAAAACAAAAATGTCAAAATATGTGGAAAAAAACCTATGTGATGAAGCAAATCCAAAGTCATTTTTGGATTTGAAAAGTCAAATTTCTAGAAAATACATTTTTAAAAGTTTTTTTTTTACCTTCAAGTCTTGTGTATCATTTTATGTGGACTAGGGTGAAGTGATGACTTAAATAAAGCTGTGATTCTGATCATGGATACTTACCTGGGTTTACCTCCCAAGTAGCAGTATTTGAGACCAGAGTTTCAGTTTGTGTGAACAGGTTTGTTAGCCACAGTTAACAGTTAAAAATAATTCAGAAATATTTCCACTTTCCCAAAACATTTAATAAAATAAAAGTAGATCAGGTACTTTCCAGTCAGAGGCTACTGCCATGGAATGGCTTTGGTGGCTTGAAAACAAAACAAAAATGACCTCTAACAGCCAGCAAATAATTGCCACTACAGTGCATGTGAATTTGGGATTTATATTCCACCACCGATCATGTTTTCATGTTCCCCTCCAATATGCAGGTCAAGTGCAGTCACAGGCATTATATGGAGAGTAAACAAGTAATTGTGAATTATGAGGCTATGATTCCATCAGTAGGATTTGGGGAAACTATAAACCACACATTCTAAACCTTGGGTTTGTGCAGAACTGCTTCACATGATTGCTGTCTTTGTCCATTGTATGCAGAGCACACTAGGGTCTAACAAGCCCTAGGCTCTGGATTACCTGAGTGAAATTAACAAATTGAAATCTGAATCACAATATATTGTATATCACTAAAATGTAATGTTTTTCTATTCGTTCCCATTTCTTGGTAATTTATTTTAGGAATGGGCAGACTTTAGCTCCTGCAAGCTCTTCTTTTCTCTCTCCCTCCCAAACTAGCACCTTGAGATCCTCCACTAAAGCCAAGTGCACAGGAATTTTTGATCAGAAATCTGTTTCTGAATACCAAAATGAATGATGTTCACAGTTCTTCCATGCAATCCTTCCAGGTTAGACTTTCAATCTTAATTTCAACAGCATGCATGTAATATGTGGGTATAAGTCCCAAAGAAAGCCATTTTGTAGTCATTTTTTTAAAAAAAACCAGATATTCAGACATTTTTGCCTATCTATCTTTGATCAATCAGAGTCTTAATAATGCCTGTGTTATGACAATCTGCAACCTTTAATCACTCTGTGGACCATTTTTATGGACCATTCTTCCTTCAGCATGTTCTTCAGCATCCCTATTCACATTTTAGTAATGTAGTTATATTAAACATGATAGAAGGAGAGCCTTAGGCCTTTCTGCACATGTCCTTGAGCATATGTGTGATTAGCTGATTTAAAAAAAAGAGTTTTAGATATATACATTAGTGGCATCAGTTCTGGAGATAATGTGGAATCTACAATGTTAGAAGTGGAACCCAGAAAAACACTTTGATTATAATTCTGTGAATAATCGAGACTCTGTGACCAGAACTTGCTGGTTGGGGTATTCTGGGTGTTAAATCAGAATTGTCCAAGCTTTGATTAATTTTTTTTCAATCTACCTTCTGGAATTCCTTCACTACTTTTTCCAGCTTCCACGATCTTTGAAAATATTATTGTATAATTATAGTTTGTTCCCCAATATGCTCCACTGATTATGGCACTCTGAAACTATCACCATGTATTTCAAACTGCTGATTATTAAGTCCTGCAAAGGCCTCTTTCTGAAGAATGGTGTATGTATGTATGTATGTATGTATGTATGTATGTATGTATATGTGTGTGTGTGTGTATGTATATATGTGTATATATATATATATATGACCTCTTTTCCAAGTGAGATCCATAATAACCTTTCTCCCCATAAATATGAAGCATTAAAAAGCTAATGTTAATTTGTTAGGTATCAATACCCTGTGCATTTCTTATACACTTCAGCACTAACTTTCAAAAGCATGGCTATTGATATCTGAATGTTATGGATATTTATAACAGATATAGTCAGTGACTGCACTATTAACATTTATTAGATCTGAGAAGTATTATTGGAGCCAGCATGTATAGTACTTTGGGTGTTGGATTACAATTCTGGGGAAAAGGGGGTTGAATCCTTGCTTGGACATGGACAAATGGGGTGATCTTTGGCAACTTAGTCACACCCTTTAGGCTAGTTGGACATCTTGAACAGTCTCAAAGGCAGCACCACATAGA